TCAAAACTACAGTCATGGCCCACAGAAGTAAATAATACAACTATAACAATGTGACAAAATGCAGGTGCCCCATCGGGCAGGGCAATCCCAATGGCAAGGGCAGAAAAGCCTGAAATCACTACATATCCCCATTTTATCAAAGAAGCAGCAGAGGAACAAAAAGGTTATTCTCTCACAAGAGACACCAGCAGAGCAGAGAGTATACTTGGGAGATCTCTGCTCCCATCCTGCTTTTAATTGCTATGCTATGAGGTATTTTTAAAGTTTACAAACCCTTACAAACAAGGGAAGGAAGTCAGCTTTTTGACTATTCACCCTATGATATTTTTAGACCATGCTATTAGTTAGCTTTATTTTATTCACCTTATTTACCAAACATTGACCTGATAACTTAGGCCTTTTCCAAAATTTTTCAAAAGGTTGTGTTGTAGCTCTAGAAAGTTTTGTTAGGGGGAAAGGATGTCCTGAGCCAATTCCATACAGGCTTTGTGTATGCCACTCCCACTTCATCAAGACACTGGGAACTACAAATCCCAGGATCCCCAAAGGGAAGTTGTGAGGACCTAAGGGTGGAGTTAAGCAGCCATGTTTTTCTTTTTGAGAATATAGCCAGCCACGTTAGTGGGGTCGGACTCACTTGGCTCATGCTCTTGGCCAGGCAGGTTTGGTCTTGGCAGGTCATTTGGGATTCCAGGTTGGCAGAATGGGTAGGAAGCATTTAAGAATGTATCTCCCTCTTTTCTCTCTGAATTTTACATGTCCACATCCCCTTCCCTTGTAAATTAGCCTTTTGTTACCTTTTTGTGTGTGCCTGCAGTGTAAGTCCCTTTCAACATGCAGGTGAGGACCCACAGTCAGGCAACCTGTTTCAGAGCGGGGTTGACAATAACAGGTTCAGAAGAGAGATGTCAGTATTTAATCCATAGCTTAGCTGGCATAGAATAGCTGCATTATGGTCAGAGCCCTTATCAACAAAGATAACATGCAAAGACAAGGTCTATGTCCCCTGGATCATATGTGAACACATCTGGGCAAAATTATGGCTTCTCAGATGAGTCTGCAAGAGAAAGGATAAATGTCACAGATGAAAGAAAGGAGGATTATTTTTTTTTACTTAAAAGCTAACAGAAACAGGAGTATTACCAACAGACACTATCACCAAGCAGTAAAAATGTGTCTGGCTCAAGTTTAAGTGCTTCGGTATGAAATTTCTGAAATTCGCTTTGAATGTGCAAATGTTTGGAGGGATCTGGCAGGCCATCTTCTCCTGTATCTTTCTACTTTTTGGCATTCTGAAACAATTTGCTTTCATGGAAGTCCTCCCGTGCCCATGTTTAACTTTGGTTGTCACATTTAGTATGTGTTTCAGAAATTTTTTCCTGTTAAGGTATAAAAATATCAAAATTACATCCTGTGAGAAATTAATAAGCCACAATCAAAGTATGGTACAATGTTCTGGACTGGAAGAATGGCAAGCAGAGCTGGTTTACTGTAGGAGGGACAATATTTTGCTTCTGCCTGTTGTTTGGTATTTTTTGGATCAATATTTATTTATGTGGAAATGCAGAATTTTTTATTTTTAATATTTTATTTTATATTAATTTGTACATCATTTTTCATTTTTGTACAATGTATGCATTTTCATTTGGTTATATTCCCCATACAATTGCTCCCCCCCTTATTTTGACCCTAATCCTTCCTCTCCTCAACCCCCCCACCCCAGTGTGTCTATGCTTTATAGTTGCTTGTTGATTTTGATTTTTACTTTGTTTTTCCTTGTCCCTTATTTAGGTTTTCTAAATTCCTGATGAGTGAGACCATCCGGTATTTTTTCTTTTTTCCTTCTGACTTATTTTGCTGAGCATGATCCCTTCTAGCTCCGTCCTTGTTACTGAAAACTGCATGTGTTTATCTTTTTGATTGCTGAGTAATATTCCATGGTGTATATGGACCACATCTTCTTGATCCAGTCATCTATTTTTGGGCATTTGGGTTGTTTCCATAGCATAGCTATTGTAAATGGTGCTGCTTCTGTCTATTTTCATATCTCCACACCAGTCCATAAAAGCTCAACAAGTCCTCCAGTCTGATTTTGTGCTATTGCTCAGTGAAAAACTATAGAAGAAACTTCAGTATAATTTTTCTTATGGCTTAGAGGTACCTTGATTTGAATCAGTGGAGATGAAGTTCAGGGAGGAATACAAATGTGTGCTACTTAGGAGTACTCTAAAATTGTTCATTTTTTCTATAATCAAAACCAAATGAGGCACTGTATTAGAAAATGCCCTGTATCCCCAGGGTTTGCTTGATTTTATTTATTTGCTTCAACTTAAAAGAGAAGCCTTTTAATGACTGGGTGTCTTTTTCTGATTGACTTTGTCATTATTGTTCTATTAGAAAAACACATCAGGGGAAATGCATAAACTATTGGAAGTTAAAATGATGTCTGGGATATTGACTTTTCTGATTAGCACAACTTAATATATTGAGTTCCTGGGCCTCTCTGGTGGCACAGGGGTTAAAGTCTCAGTGCTATCAAGCTATCACCAGCCACTGTAGCCACTGAGGCATGAGTTCCATCCCCAGCCAGGGAGCTGACCCACATGGTATAGCAGACTTCTCCTGCTTCGCCTGCTGCCCCCTCAGCAGTGTGTTTTAGTAGAGCTACCTATTCTATGCCCCACTCTGTCTCTGATAAATTCTCTCACTCCCCCTTCACCCATTGTAACTGTGGCCTACACCCCAGTTCTTGTATGCATACAAAAATAAAAATAAATCTTTAATAAAAAATATTTTTGAGTCCCTGTATATAATAATGACAAGTGTAAAGTTCCAGCATAAGAAAAGTCTATTTAGAAAGAAACACAATGTACAGTCAGCTAATACCTTTGAGACCTATCTGGTTTGTTTTCAGTGCCTCTGAGGAATTATTTATGAATCTTACACTACAGAATTGTAAGTCAGGAAATTTTCCTACCCACATGCTGTTTTCCTGTTGTTTACCACCAAAATTCAAATATAATGTCACTGCCAAGAAATATTTTTATAACATTTATTTTGCAATAAAATATTTGTGCATTACTGTTAATATCTCAGTAGTAAAATTAGAACTTATCTTAAACTTTAAATTTCATCGTATAATGCTCAATATTAACTAACCATAGACAATCATGGACCAGGTCAAGGGACCTGATGTGTAATCATAGATCAGCCAGTCAAATCATTTGTCAAATCATTTGTCTTCTCTGGGCTTCCACTTCCTCTGCTGTAAAATGATGGTGTAAGAACTCTTACAGTATTCACTAAGGCCTCAGTTTCTCTGTTTTTTCTGATACTCTAGGACTCCATGTGCATTCAGATCTGCTGGTAAATTAGCATTTTTTAAAAAGATTTATTTGTTTATGCATACAAGAACTGGGGTACAGGCCAGAGGTGTGGGGAGGGTGAGAGGATTCATCAGAAAATAAATGGGGAGCAGAAGAGGCAGACTGACTGAAATACACTGCTGAGAGGAGCAGCAGGCAAGGCAGGAGATATCTGCTGTGCCATGTGAGTCAGCTCCCTAGCCGGGGATCTATCCATAGAGGCTGTGGATATCTTCATAGGTTACATCTTACCCCCTTGTGCCACTAGGGAGGCCTGAAATTAGCATTTTTAAAGTAAGTTCCAAAATAATCATTGAAGACTTTTTTTTAAGCTTCATTACAATTTTACTGAATGAATTAAAATTGAAAAACCTCATCTTCCAGAATTTACAAAATAGTCGCTCATTCTCAGTCACTCATTCTTGGTCGCTCTTTGTCAGGCACCTGCCTGCCTCTTGGATGCATTCACAGAACTGTATTTCCAGAGTGCCCCGGAAAGAGACTGAGGACGTTTGCGATTTGACATGGTTAACAGATAGCCCTGCTAGTTGGTGGTCTAGTTCCTACCGCAATCCTGAAAGGCATTGGCGTTCATCTAGGAACTGGCTACCATGGTGGTAACAGATGCCTTTTAAACAGCTGTCACAAGCTGAAAACAAAACAAAGTTAAAAAGCCACCCTCCCACAGTATGCACAAACAGCTTGCCAATAGCTGAAACAAATCCTTCTTGGAGCATTTTAACAAACAAACCTTTTTTGGTGGTTGTTGCAATTAAATAAAAACTCACAAAATGCAGACAAGTTGGCTGAAAGTTTCCCACAGACCTGAGCTGCCTATATTTTCTAATGGGATCACTGCAATTAGTGGTTTCCAGATGCAAAGAAAATGTGTTAAGTGCCTGCAGGAATTGGCTTTAAAATATACACAAGTCTTCAAATGCTTCCAGATCGGGGTTCTACTCCAAATCCCATGGGGTACCACGATGTCTGTGTAATGTTTGACAACAGTTAGGTGCTTAAGTTGAAAATAGCGTTAAATAGAAAAAAAAAGATAATGAAAAAATTCTGTCTTAAAGATAGTTCCTCAAAATCTCCTCCTCTTGTAAGGGTCACATGGCCAGTTCCCTTGGTATCCCAAATAACATGAAAGTCACTGAGTTCTGTTGGAGAGAAAGATGGAATGGGTGGGGTTTTCTGAAGAAAAAAAAAAAAAAAGGTCTTATTGTCACCAGGACTGTAGACAACTACAGAGCTCATTCTGTGTCCATGCTAATTGAACTACAAACATGTCAGTCTGACAGCCCTAAGAGTTTATGCCTTGCGTGTTGGAGTGTCTGGCTTTCTTTGACGTGTTCCTGGACAATTTCTCCCTGTCACGAGACTCTTCCTTCACTCAAAGACTGAGTCTGTATGTTTACACCCAGCGATTTACCTTTGATGGAAACTAGGCAGGAGGCGAGTTTGTGGTCTGTCTTCTCATAACTGAGAGGGCTAAAAACAGGACATGAGAATAAAAACATGGCTTTTGATGAAAATGCATTTAACAGGTGGTTTTCTCCTCCAGTGACTGACAAAGTTATCTCCCCTTGAGACACGTCTGGGCCTCATGCCTTTTGTATTTCTTTTTTCTTTTAGACCCCCTGTGGACACCTCATGTAGACAAGAAGCACGAAGAGGAAGTGGTGATGTTGACCAATCAGCCTGAAGATTCTGAAAGGTAATAATGACCTGGATGCAGGAGATGTAGAATGTACAATGTACAATCCTGCAGAAATATTCTTATATAACTATTCTCATAGAAAAATTCTAATAGAAATATCCTAGAATATTCTAAGAATATTCTAATATTCTCTGTCCTCTGTCAGAGATGATGAGCCTGGGAGGAGCAGAAATGCCTGTGTGTGGATGGAACCACAGAGGGTAGATAAGCAAAAGATGGTGGATAACAACATCGACGATTTGACCACATTTCCTTTCACTGTTATCCAAGGGGCAAGGCTTACGACACGCTCTGGGGGTTAACTGGTTTTTGGGGTACTTGGTAAATTCTCTTGACAAGTTTGGCATTTAAGGTAATGTCTCTTGGAGAGCACAGATTTTCTACTAGGAAACAACTGTATTTCATTAATAAGGTGAAGAGGCATCTATATCTTCTCTCCTGACTTATTTAATCCTTAGCTCTGATCGAAGGTGACAAGTTCACTAAGTCCCTTATCAAAACATCCCTTCCTTAGCCACTTCGAACATTCTGTCAACTTTTTGTCTTATCTCAAGACTGACACTGCTCGTTGGCCCATTTAGTTTTTTTCTCTGAGTTACTTGGCACCTCTAATGTCCAAGAGAATGTGCTAGCTGCTTGCATATGATGAACCCCTACCTGTCTTCAGTGTAGACAGCTAAAACTATGTGCATGCCTAATTATAATACATCATAGAATGTCAGCCTCATAAAAGAGAGCACAGATACACTGCTCTGGGAATTTGAGGACAGTGAGAATCCTTGCTGTGAGCATCAAGAGATGCTTGAAGGATGGGTCTCCCTGGTGGCCTAGGGGTTAAGTCTCAGTGCTATCACCTTGATGGCCTGAGTTTGATCCCTCAGCCAGGGAGCTAACCACCCACATAGGGTGATGCAGACCTCTCCTATCTCACCCCCTGCTCCCCTCAGCAGTGTATTTCAGTAGATCCACCTGTTCTGTCCCCCACTGTCTCTGGTGAGTCCTCTCACCGCCCCCCCACACACCTCTGGCCTGCACCCCAGTTCTTGTATGCAGAAATAAATAAAATAAATCTTAAAAAAATAAAATTTATACCACAGAGGTAGTCTGAGGATTAATTGATTATACTGATAAAACTCTAAGATACTATGGCTAATAGAAGAATAGAAGAAAACATACGATGTTCAGTGATTTTTAGGACAGATGATACTCTATCCTCTTTTGGTAGCTGAGGTCCATATTTGGCAAATTTTACCAGTTTAAATAAAAAGAATGAAAGAGAAGAAAGGAAAAAAGGAGAAAGAAGGAAGGAAGGTCCATCATTTTGTATTTTGGAGGAATGTTTGCCCTTAGCTCTTTCTTCAGTGAAGCCTCTCTACAAAAAGTTAGACATACCCGCCCACACACCATTTCCTTCCACATGAAGAATTCTAAGGACGCTGTAAGCTCCTGAATCCTATTCTACTGAACGATGTTTAGATGATTTTCCATTAACCAATGATGAAAATTACAGAGTTCAGCAGTTAACATATTCATTTTCCACAGAGTCAAAAATTTGTACTGCTGAGAGAAAGAGAGTGGGATCTTTGACAGTAATTAAAAATGCTCTGTAAGTGGTTTTTAGATTAGCCTTGATGGTGTGTATGACTTGGGGGTCCAGGAGAAGATTGTGTGGATGAGGCAGATGCTGTAGCTCATGTCTTTGTCTTTGGAGGTGTGAGACAGAGAGAAGAGAGAGGGGAGATGAGAGACCACAGGGCAGGAACAGAACAGTGAGTTCTGAGTCGTTCCCTCCTTATTTCCTGAACAGACTGCTTTCTAAGTAAGCCCCTTTAGGTTCTAGAGGGGTAAAAATTTGCCAATTTATAAGTTTTATATATATATATATATATGGTATTCTGTTTGTCAGATCAAGCTTCTTTTCAAAATAAAAGAGTGGGAGGAACAACATGGATACTCCTGGGTGATTATCAAAGTAAAAGTTTTTTCTAGTTTAGACAGTCCCTCTTCCCAGACTCTGAAGCAGGTTTTTTTTTTTTTTTTTAAGATTTATTTATTTATTTATACAAGCACTGGGTACAGTCAGAAGTGCGGGAGGGTGAGAGAATTCACCAGAGGCAGAGCGGGGAACAGAACAGGCAGACTAACGAAGTACACTGCTGAGGGGAGCAGTGGGTGGCAGGAGAGGTCTGCGTGCCATGTAGGACCCTCCTTTGGTGGCCGGGGATCGAACCGGCGCTGCAGGCAGCTTCGCAGCTCAGCACTCGACCGCTGCGCCACTGGGGAGGCCCTCTGAAGCAGTTTGTAACAGCAGCCCCAGCACACGCTGTGCTCCTGGGGTCCTCCTTAGAATGCCAGTCCTTTCTTTCTTTCTTTTTTTTTAAGCAGATGTTTCCTTGTCCTAACATTTATTTAAAAACTGTATTTTTTGAAATGGAGGATGTTTCCAGAAAATTATAATTATAGCCTAATGAGAGCAACCATTGTGATTCATTTTAACCTCAGGTAAAGGTATCTCAGAATAATAAAATGAACATAAGATCTCCTGAAGCAGCCCTGTGCTCTGGCCCCAAGGCCATTCATGTCAGCCCTTAGTCAACCTGCAATTAAAAGCACCATCCAGTACAATCTTAGTTCTTCCTGTTTCAGAAGTACTTAGGTGGCCCTGTGTCTCTTCCCATATTCAAAGCATTCAAATGTCTTTATGCAAAACATCGGTGTACTTCAAAAAAAGTCAACAATAGAGGATATTTTTCCCATGTGAAGAGAACATTCCCACGCAGATGCAATACTTGGCAGCCACAAGCTGCTGGCTATTAAATGGCCCTTAAAGCTCCTTTTTTTTTTTTTGCTCATAAAGAGTTTAGGGACGTTTATGGGGTGACAGGCAGATGTTTTCGTTGGAGCAAGACTATAGATGTGGTAAGAAAAAGCTAAAATAATCTGTTTTATGAAATCATCAGCTTTTTTACAATTCTTTTGGCCTCTTTATTTTTCACCTCCATATCACCTGACCCTAAATCAAAATACTCAGTAAAGGCAGAATAAAAGGTAATTTACAGTCACCAGCCACACTATGGGGTTCATATTATCATCTTTTTCAGACACACAGATTATTTTCTCTCCACCCTTATTGTTTTGTCAGAAGAGAAATTGATGTCAAAGTGCTGAATAAGTGTTTTTCATGACTCATGGAACATCACAAACCATCATCATTTTCTTCTGATAAATTTTACTAATTCTTAGTCATGCTTTAACTTCAATAGTTTCAGTATTAAAGTTCACAAAACCTATTTGTCAGTTTTTCAGAAATTATACTTCTTCTAACTAATAAACACCAAAGTCATAGAGGCTTTCTGGAAAACAGCTTAATTCTCTTGCTCAAATAAGAAAGTAGCATCCTAACCATATGTTTATGAGTAATATATGAAATAAAATGAACTGTTATTGGGTGAATAAAGTCATAGGTATTTAAGACAAGGGGGTTTTGGAAAACCTGTGTTTTCAGACAGATTCTATAAAGTACATTTCAGAAAACCTCTTCCATGCAAACAACATACCTGGGATAAACACCGACTTTACATGCTCAAGTCGAGTTTATATAGAATGCCTCAGAAGACATCTGTAGTGTATCTTTGATTCTATCTTTTTTTAATTCTTTGTGCCTACCTAAACTCTTTTTTTCTGATTCAATGCAACAATCACTGATAAAGCTCCTACTATGTGGTAAGAAGTGCTTAGAGAGAGATTTTGTTGGAAAGAATATTAAAGGAGAATTCCCCCAAAGAATCCACTCATGATTTATCTGAAAAGGACTCAGATTGCCTCCCAGCATAAAATTTATGTATCTGGGCACTGGGTCTGCCAGCTTTTACCTCAGTGTTTGATATTAACTGTGGAGGCACAGAGCTTGCTTGAAGGTCTATTGTAGGCCAGTTGAAAGAGCTGGAAGTCTGTTCTTTCTCTGGTGACATCTTCTGCAAAGCTTCAGAGCTTAGGGAAAAGGCTTCTAGAACTTGGTGATTAAATACACAGATCCTTCAAAGGCAGTACCTTCAGGCAATGGGCTGGACTTGATGAGGTTTAAAGACAGTTAACACGAGGGAGCTATTGCATTAGCACAGTTTTGATTTCTAGAGATTCTAGAATAATAAACTCAAGACTTCATGATGCTCTGACATGTAAAGAAGTGAATAAATCGGGCAGTGGGGGAAGAGGGTGAAGGGATTCGTGTTTGGAAAATTTAGCGTGGTTTGATGTTGGTCCTTCTCTTTTATTCCTTTATATTAACTGAAAATTTTAATTTAATGCCTTCAGCAAGTGGGAATTTTCATGTCTGGTAGGCTTTTGCTTCAAGTACTGTGTGTCTCTGTTTGAACATAGGTTTGCTTTATAAAGTTTAAAATCAGAATGTGCTTGAAGTGCTTTTAGTCACTTGTATCATTTGCTAATATTTGTGCCCACCTAGGACTGTAGCAATCACTTTATATCCTAAATATACTGCTGTTAGACAGGATTATAATTACATAAATCTCATGTCAGCTCAATTTCCAGGGCAACTGGACTAGAAATCAATTTTCCATTTCACTAAATACTGTGAAGCCAGGATAGTTGCTTTCCAAATGTCTTTACTTTCATAGTTACAATCACATAAATTCCATTATTCTCTCTATAGTACCAGGTTATATTTTTCAATGTCATAAAACACCCACATTTTAAAAACAAAATAAAACTTCAGGTAACTTGGGTGATTTGCCTTTTCTTAGTCTAGATCTCAGTACTATATCACTACTTATTCACAACACAAACAAGAAGGGAAATGTAATGATTAGCAGCAAAACTCAGATGAGCTTGACAGCCTGCACTGTCACTACTATTAATACTTGAATGATACACTGCTGGGGAGGCTATTTTTCATCATTGGACTCAGCTTGGTTTACTATTTCACATGGTTTGTTTATCTCCAATTTTAAGTAAGTTTACAAGCTACACTGGAAAGT